AAAGAATGATAATAGCACAACAGGATGACTATAGTCAATAATAACTTCAGGAAGAATGAATGAAAAATAGGAAGAATGAATAGAAAATAGAAAGAATGAATTAGCACAACAGGATGACTATAGTCAATAATAATTGTACATTTTAAAATAATGAAAAGAATATAATTGGATTGTTTGTAACACAAAAGATAAATGCTTGAGTGGATGCACACCCCATTCTCCATGGTGTGATTATTATGCATTGCATACCTGTATCAAAATATCCCATGTACCACATAAATATACACAATACTATTTACCCAGAAAAATTATGATTAAAAAAAAAAGGCCAGTAAGAGAATTCAGACTCTATCCTGAGACATTGGAATAGTCTTAAGTGTGTTTTAATACTCGGATGATGAACAAGAAGGTGACTTGAAAAATAAACAAAACATCAGGAAAGTGAGGAGGAAACTGCACTAGAGCCAGATAGACCACTTAGAAAGTAGGAGGTGATTAATTCTGAACCAGGGAGACTAAAATTGGAATCAATAAGAGGAAACAGAAAGATTTATCATTAAAACTTTGGAAAAGTGAAGGGACAAAGGGAATATCAAGAATGACAGATTTCCAGCTTACATGATTCAGAGAACAAAGGTCTGAGGGGGAAAAAAAAGACAGAAAAAAAATAAAATGTTAAAACTGGAAAAGTCCTTAAAAATATCATGTCCACATGCTGTCTTTTATAGGTAATGACTGCAAGCAAAAGCTAGTGCTGGAGAAAATAGAAGGACTTTGCTTTTAGTGAGTTTTCAGAACATGATTCTCATCACTTCAGAGGCCAGGAATGGAAACATCCACTTATGGGAAACTGCACTAGCCTTAGGCAGAGTCACATTTGGCCCCTGCATGAGGCTCGTCCCCTTCTCTTGCTCCCTCTGTGCTGCCCAAAATCTGCCCTAAGCATGGGGTCATCTCCCCTCTGAATCTTAATGGCTTTCTTATTTCCCTGCCTGGAGTCACCCTTTATCTAAGTCTGTGCCTTTTACTTTGGCCCCAGATTCATCACCCCAGTTTATACCTGCCCTGAAAACATGTGTGCTAGTTCCATAGTTCCCCTTTCTCCATTATTCTTTATTCACTCCTCTACATTCATTCATCCAACATTCTTATAAGTTCTGGAGATAGAATGGTAAGCAATACATTTTCAGTGCTTTCAGAAGGCTTACATTCTAAAATGAAAGCAAGTTCTCCCCCACTCCCCTAAAAAAGAAAACAAATAATAACCACAAAATAATTTTAAATCACAGTAAGTACTAGGAAGAATCAAAATCTGTGATGAAGATAAGCAAAAGAATATAGAATTTTGAATACAAAATTAGGCAGAAAAGTAAGTTTATTAAGAATGAGATCCCATTACTGGGTATATATCCAAAGGATTATAAATCATTCTACTATAAGGACACGTGCACACGAATGTTCATTGCAGCACTGTTTACAATAGCAAAGACCTGGAACCAACCCAAATGCCCATCGATGATAGACTGGACAGGGAAAATGTGGCACATATACACCATGGAATATTATGCAGTCATCAAAAGTGATGAGTTTGTGTCCTTTGTAGGGACATGGATGAACCTGGAAACCGTCATTCTCAGCAAACTGACAGAAGAGCAGAAGATCAAACACCGCATGTTCTCACTCATAGGCGGGTGTTGAACAATGAGAACACATGGACACAGGGAGGGGAGCACTACACTCTGGGGTCTGTTGGGGGGAAACAGGGGAGGGACGGTAGGGGGTGGGGAGCTGGGGAGAGATAGCATGGGGAGAGATGTCAGATGTAGGTGATGGGGAGGAAGGCAGCAAATCACACTGCCACGTGTGTACTTATGCAACAATCTTGCATGTTCTTCACATGTACCCCAAAACCTAAAATGCAATAAAATAAATAAGTGGAAAAAAAAAAAGAATGAGAAAAGAGTCCAGGTGTGATTTACACCTGTGATCCCAGCACTTTTGGAGGCCAAGGCAGGAGGATTGCTCAAGGCCAGGAGTTCAAGATCAGCCTGGGCAACAAAGTGAGATCTTGTCTCAAATTCATTTTTTGCATGTGGATATCCAATTGTTCCAGCAATAGTCTTTTTTTTTTTGAGACGGAGTTTCACTCTTGTTACTCAGGCTGGAGTGCAATGGCGCGATCTTGGCTCACCGCAACCTCCGCCTCCCGGGTTCAGGCAATCCTCCTGCCCCAGCCTCCTGAGTAGCTGGGATTACAGGCACGCGCCACCATGCCCAGCTAATTTTTTGTATTTTTAGTAGAGACGGGGTTTCACCATGTTGACCAGGATGGTCTGGATCTCTTGACCTCGTGATCCACCCGCCTCGGCCTCCCAAAGTGCTGGGATTACAGGCTTGAGCCACCGCGCCCGGCCAATAGTCTTTTTTGAAAAGACTATTTTTCACCAATGAATTGTCTTGACACCCTTATCGAAAACCAATTTACCATAATGTAAAGTATTTTTTATGTATTCTCAATTCTATTCTATTGATCTACTTGTCTATCCTTATGCCAGTACAACAGTGTCTTGATTACTGTAGTTGTATAGTAATTTTTAAAATCAGGAAGTGTTAGTTCTCTAGATTTGTACTTTTTCAAGATTGTTCTGTATATTCTGGATCTCTTGCATTTCCATATAAATTTTAGGATCAGCTTGTCCATTTCTGTAAAAAAAAAATGAGCTACAATGTTGTTAAGAAGTATTACCATCTTAACAATATTATGTCTTCCAATTTGTGAACATGAGGGGTTTTCTTCTGTTTTGTTTCATCTGGTTTATTTTTTTTTTATCCTAATTGCCGGGGTAGAACCTCCAGTACAATGTTAATTAGAAGTGACAAGAGCATACATCCTTTTCTAGTTCCTGATATTAGGAGGAAACATTTAGTGCCACTCTATAGTACCTAGTTCCCTGCTGAGATTTTTAAGCTCTGATTTTATCTCTATGAATGTAGTAAGCATAGTGGTTCTGCAATCTATATTGGATAATTTTGGCATCTTTTATTTATTTATTTATTTATTTATTTATTTATTTATTTATTGAGATGGAGTGAGACTCTATTGCCTAGGCTGGAGTGCACTGGCATGATCTTGACTCACTGCAACCTCCACTTCCCAGGTTCAAGTGATTCTCTACCTCAGCCTCCCAAGTAGCTAGGATTACAGACATGCACCACCACACCTGGACAATTTTGTATTTTTAGTAGAGAAAGCATTTCATCATGTTGCCTGGGCTAGTCTTGAACTCCTGACCTCAGGTGATCCACCCACCTTGGCCTCCCAAAGTGCTGAGATTAAAAGCATGAGCCACCACACTCAGCTTTATTTCAGTATCTGATGTCTCTTTTGAATTACTTGTTGGTAGTTCTGTTGGTTCTGGCTTATGTTGTTTTATCTCTTGTATCTTATTGTTTTTCATAGTTTTCAGGCCATTTTTAACGTATTAATAGAAACAATTTGAAGGCTTAGATGGTCTTATTTTCCTTCAGAGAGACTTTTTTCCTTCTACCAGGTACCTGATGAGAACCAAGGTTTTCTGAGTCACCAAGATGACCTAACAAAATATAATCCCTATCCTCATTCCCAGGGCACATGTCTTGGACTGCTATAACAAATTACCCATAGACTAGGTGGCTTAAACAACAATTATTTATTTCTCACAGTTCTTGAGGCTAAAACAATCAAGGTCAAGGTTCTGATAGATCCAGTGTCTGGTGAAGGCACTCTTCCTGGTTTGCTGATAGCCATCTTCCTACTTGTCTTCACATGGTAGAGAGCAGGGAGAGAGCAAACTCCTCATAAGGGCATTAATCCCTTTCCTGAGGGCTCCATCCTTATGACCTAATTATCTCCCAACAGTTTTACTGATACAGTCTGGATCTTTGTCCCCACCAAAATCTTATGTCAAATTGTAATCTCCAATGTCAGTGATGGGATCTGGTGGGAGGTGATTGACTCATGGGGTTGGTTTCTCATGAATGATTTACCACCATCCTCTTGGTACTGGTCTCATGATAGTGAGTGAATTACTGTGGGATCTGCTTGTTTAAAAGTGTGCAGCACCTCCCCCTCATGCTCTCTTGCTCCTGCTCCCACCATGTGAGATGACTGCTCCCCCTTTGCCTTCTGTCATGATTGTAAGTTTTCTGAGGTCTCCCCAGAAGCCAAGCAGATGCCAGCATCATGCTTCTTGTACAGCCTGCAGAACTGTGAGCCAATTAAGCCTCTTTTCTTCATAAATTAACCAGTCTCGGGTATTTCTTTATAGCAATGCAAGAATGAATTAATACAGCCACCTTCTAATATCATCAAATGTGATGGATTTGGAGTCAAGATTTCAACACATAAATTGGGAAAGGGACATAAACATTAGACAAAAGCAATATCCCTTTGAGGTCTGAGTCCTGAGCAGGGAGTGTTTCAACAATTTTCCCACCATTAACAGGCACTGGACTCTTATCCTTGTCCCTACCAAGGTAGTGTGTGACTCTACCTTTCATTCTTTTCCCTGGAATAGTAATATTTACCCAGCATAAAAATATTTTTGAATGGTGAAACCCTTCAGGGTCTTAACCTCCTACCTCCAACTTGTATCTTCTTCCTACACCAGCCTTCCAAAAGTGTAACCTAGCCCCAGTCTTTGAACACCTCCAGGGAAGAAGCCACTGAGGCTGCCTATCTTTCTCAAGCTGATCACAATTTCGTAATTCTTTACTATTGTTTTTCCTTATTGTTCCTTTTAAGACCACTTTTTCTTCCCAGCTTTTTAGTTGTCTTTAGAGGGAGGGTTATTACCAAAGCCAGAAACTTCTAATTTTCATTTTAGTAACGTTGCTTTCCAAATAATAGATGAGAGGATATTTTTCTTTGTAGATGTATGTTAATCCATCTGATTCACAACGAAAGAATAAAAAAAATCTGAATATCATTGTTTTATAACAGCTAATGAAGTAATGCATCTAGGATATTTTTCTTTATAAATATATAATAATCCATCTAATTCACAAAGAAAGAATGAAAAAATCTGAATATCATTGTTTTATAACAGCTAATGAAGTAATGCATCTAGGCATCTAATTAATATCTGGTAATATCACAAAGTGAGGGATATCCAGACATCAGCATGGGAAAATACAATGCCACCTATGAAGTAGTCGCCTCCTCAAAAAATAATAAAACCTGGGATGAACCTGGAAACCATCATTCTCAGCAAACTTACACAAGAACAGAAAATCAAACACTGCATGTTCTCACTCATAGGCGGGTGTTGAACAATGAGAACACATGGAAACAGGGAGGGGAACATCACACTCTGGGGTCTGTTGGGGGCAAATAGGGGAGGGACAGTGGGGGACGGGGAGTTGGGGAGAGATAGCATGGGGAGAAATGCCAGATATAGGTGAAGGGGAGGAAGGCAGCAAATCACGCTGCCATGTGTGTAGCTATGCAACAATCTTGCATGTTCTTCACATGTACCCCAACACCTAAAATGCAATAAAAATAAATAAATAAATAAATAAATAAAATAAAACCTGAATCAAGTCTCTAAATCTAGCCACTAAAGCCATCAACCAATCTATAAGAAATACTGAGGACAAAGAAACTTGTTAAAGTATGCTATAGAGATGTGATAAGCAAACTCCAGGCTGTGAGACATTCAGGAGAAACAATTCAGTTCCTTAACAAAAAAATTGTAATGGAAAAAAATGTTGAGGGGACTTAGATATTAAAATAGATTTATGAAATATAGTGAATCGCAATGCATTGATCTTATTCAAACCTTGATATTTTAAAAACTGTCAAAATTACGCTATTTATGATGTAATTGAGAACTTGAACACTGATTCAAAAATATTTGATATTTTAAAGCACTACATTTTTAAGTATGATAACACTATTGTGGTTATGTTTAGCAAAAAAGAAGTGTGTATATTTGTGTCTGTACACGTATGTGCCTTTCTGAACATATACAATTGCACATTATATAATCTACATACATACACACATATATTGAGTATAATAGTTCTAGATAAAAAAATTTTAATGTCTGGGATTTGCCTAAAACTAATACAGGGAGGTAGGAAGTGAATGAGAGTGTAGATCCAGAAAAAAAGACTATTATGTAGAGAATGGGAGAATGGGTTGTTGGGGGAAAAGAATGCAAACATCATTTCGGAGAGTATTGTAATGTCCAGGTGACCGACGATGCTGGCACAGTCTAAGGTAATGAAGCAAAATAGAGGAATTTGAGATATATTTTGACTTTGAGATTTCTGTGATAGATTAATGAATATGTGAGGTAAATAATCGCCAAGGGGAAATAACATAACTTGGGAAGAAAGTATATCAATGAAAGGATGATTTTTAAATCTAGGGAAATTAATGAGCCCATTCAGGTCAAGTATATTAAGGCAAACATTTATTGAACCCTAATATATCAGTCACTCAGTAGATTCATGGTCTGAATGGGGGAGGCAAATCCTGTGATAAAATATTGGCAGAGTGTCAGATGCAATGGAAGCAAGATCCCTCTTCACCCTGCTCCCCATCCAGTCACAGGGGATGAACTGTGAATAAGAGTCAACAAACTTAAATGACATCTGAAATATTGTCACCAACCGAATTTTTCGACTTCCACCAAAGGAAATCATTGTTTTTATTGATAACATCATTCTTCCAGCTTTATCTTTTCAAAAACTGAATTTGAACGGTTTCAGGCGCTAGGTAAAATGTCATGCCTGTATCTTGGATGCCTTCAGGAACAGATGGGGCCTGAGAAGTTCAGAGCAATTCAAGGCAGTCATAAGCAAACTAAAATCCAATTTTCCTTGGGAGGAGGGTACTGGAACAGCCAAGCAGTCTGGAAGGAGAGGCTGGGCGGGGAGTACGGTCTCCCTGATTCACAAAGCCTGTTTATTCAACCCCACATGTCCTTCAAGTTTTCTCCTGCCCTGAACACACAGCCTGCAGATGAGCACTAGTTTATGGGCACAGCTGATTCCAATCCTCACTTGTCATGAACTAATGTTTTATGATGTGTTGAGGTGACCCCTGGCAAAAAGACTGTATAAATGCCTTTTATTGTTTTCTTGTTTGTGATGTATTGGGCCAGAGGATGTGTGTAACATGATCAACCTAGTAAAAATTTTAATCTCTTCTATTTTTATGGCCTTCCAGGAAAAATTCCCTTTAGGGGAAAAGTAAAGGCTCTTAGAACTAATTCTCAAACATCTTACCAACATGTTGCCAAAAATGGGGTGCAGTCATATCAAGGGTCTCCACTTCTCTAAAACTTTTCCTAATAGTTTTTGTTTGGAGACTGGTGTATTCAAGCACTTAAGAGGCAGAGGCTTGATCCCTGGAGGGGGTGTGGGGTCACTGAGAGTATATGTGGGAGGGATGGGGGAAAGTCTTAGGATTTACAGGCTTCAATTTGCTGTTATGATGCCATCTTCCAGAGCCCTTGGCCCACAAAGACTAGAGGTTTTGCTCGCTATCAAAACTCTCAAAATAGTAATCACAGCTAAACTAACAATATCATTTAATTCTCACAATAAGCCTGTCAAGTAGGTATACCACATATACATCCACCCTGCATTTTACAGATAGGAGAACTAAGGCTGAGAAAAGCTGTGACTTACTCAGGACCACACAGCTTGGTGGGAAGCAGCTTTGACTTGGTTGCTTCTGATCTCTGTGTCCAATTTAATAGAGGTTTGCTCCCAGATACAAACATCCCCCCCTCACCTCTATTCAAAGACCCTAGGAGCCAAAGGAGAAGAGATTTGAGAGCAAAGTTCATGAGGGTTGTAACATCCGCCATGCGTAACATCCTCAGTCTAGTGATTCTTACCTTATTTGCACCTCATTCCCGTAACAGTTGATATATACCTGGTATCACTTCACTAGTACAGGACATACATGTGGGAGTTAACTATCTGTAACTCAACTTCCTTCCCTCTCACTTAAAGAGAAACACATCATAATCCAGGTAAAAGTGACATTAAATTTTCTCCGATTTATTTTTATGTAAGTCACTCACAAATAATCCATTATTAGTAACAACAAATTATTAGTAGCACAAATTACTTACAATGTGGTTTCAAACTGTCACCAGAAGAGACATCTGTTGCTTCATCCCTGCAATGACCAGTTATTCTTTCTCAAACATACTACTGTTCTCTATCCATAACCACCCACTCTCACCTTTATCTACTGAGTTCCCAGCATCTCATGGGTATAAAAAGCATGGGATTCAGAGTCAGACATACTTACATTTGCATCCCAGCTCTGACACTTACTAACTGCATGATATTGGCAAGTAATTAAGCTTCTCTAAGACTCAGTTTTCTCCTGTACAAAATGGAGATCAAGTAGTATCTGCCTCATGCTATTGTGAAAATTAAATGGCAATAGACATATGTTAATTAGATATGCAAGTTATTACAGTGTCTGGCACACATTAACCACTGACTAAACGTTAATGACCTTTTATTACTTTATCCCATATCTATCCAGTTCACATCCTCCACTCCTTTTCTGTCAAGTTTTCTTGGGCCTGTGTTTACTGTGGAGAGTAGCTTATGTTCTGAAATCGCTAGTAAAGAAAACAACAAGATGTTACAAAGAGAATTGGAAGGAAGCCTCAAATTAATCAACATTTATAAAATTTCTCCTGTGCCCCAGCCATCCTAATTAGTCAGTTTACCTTTTCCAGTGATGTGTTAGTATTAGGGTGGATTGTGAGTTTGGCCATCAGCATTCATTGGTTGCAATGTTGAAGCAGCAACTCCCCACTGATTTCAGAGACCACTCATCCACTTGGCCATCCACAGTGTTAGTTTCCTAGACATTAGGGAAAGGCCTGCCCCAAAGCAAAGGCCAGGCCACACTGTTTCCTCTCCACTCACCAGTGTCCACACTTCAGCTCTGTGGCCAAACATTTAATGAAATACTGCACAAGCAAAGAGAAGCTTCCCCAACTACTGAGATTGCATTAAGAACACTAATGGAGGCCAGATCATAAGTCTGCCTTCACCCCACCCCAAGAGGGAAAAGAGACCTGTCCCCATGGAGGAGGCTTGCATACATGTATATGAATCTCAACACCGTAAGGGCAGGTATGTCAACAAGAGATAAATCAGTGGTGGACAAGGCAAAGGCCCAATGAAAAGTGAGATCACATGTTAGTAAGTCATCAAAGGGTTAGAGATTCTGCAAGAGAAGTTAGCTATTCCTTCACCTGTCAGATCTATTATTTAAATCTTAAATCTGACAATGATCCTCATTGCTCACCCAAAATCTAAATGGTACCATAGTATTTAGGAGAGATTCCCTTCCCCATGTTCTTCACATCAAAAATGAAGATGCAGGCCAGGTGGCTCACCCCTGTAATCCCAGCATTTTGGAAGGCTGAGGCAGGTGGATCACTTGAGGTGAGGAGTTTGAGACCAGCCTG